CATGGATCATATATGTGCATGACAGTTGCAATATCCAGATCTTAATTCAGGAGGCAGGGACAGATTTTTTAGGCAAATAAAAAATTCGAAGCAATCATTTATATTTTGTTTTATTTTTCTTTTGTCGTGTTGGTTTTTATTTCTGCGTGGAAAACAGAGGGAGGTTATTTTTGGGCTGATGCCGTCTTTACTTTATAATTAATTCGTTTATCAATTAGGCCCAATTTTCATTCCTATAATTCTACAACCGCGGCCGATGTGCGTGAATAAATGTTTCCCTGCTGTCAGAGTGAGTCTGAAGCCGAAGCCTCACGTTTACCTGCTCAGGTGGGAAACCCGGAATTAAAAATAGACGCAGAAGTGAACGGAAGCTGGTTATTTCTCACATGATTTGTTGGAGAAGATGGAGCTGAGCGAGTGAGGTGTGTTTTTATCGAAGGATTTCATGCAAAGAATCAGACTTTTAAATGTTATAATCACTCTGATCTGTGCATTGGATCATTTAAACCGTTTTATTTCTTCCAGTTAAAGTGAATTCTAAAATAAACCGATGGATGCAGGTTTGATTTCTTAAAGTAAAATCTTGAGAGCTCAGTTATTACTCCTGACACGAGGCTCTGCGCACTGTTTCCCCGTTTTGCAGCCAAACGCATTTGGCTTCAGTTTCTTGTGATTGCACAGAGCAGAGGCCCCTTCTGATCGAACCTGCTGCTGCTTCACCGCTTCATGTTTCTGCATGTGTGTGTGTGTGTGTGTGTGTGTGACCGTGCACGGTTGCAGGTATCTTAGCTGTGCCGCTTCTCGGGGTGTCTCAGAGGTTAAAGGCCCGTGTAGCAGCCGAATACTCCTGCACCGTGTTCTGCAGCTCTCTGCTCCCCCGCCATGTTTTATTCATCGTTGACTGGAGAATGTGCAGTTGGACGAGGAGATGCAGTTAATCCAGCTCTGCATGTGTTAGTAACCGCTCATTCATTATCATTACCGTTATTATTATTATTTAAAAAACTAAAGTTAAAAAGCTGCAAGAGGCAGAAACACTGAGGTGATATTATGACGCATTTAAAGACTCGTACTTTACAAATATGATTTAATACAAAACTTTGCCATGTGCTGATTTGACAATGTCAATAATAAATATATCAAAAACAATATTTAGCTTTTTTACACACTAAATTATTTAGTCATTTACGTGGTTTTATTTGCGTATTTTCACTTTGTCTAATATTTAAAATGCAACTTAAATATCTTAGGAAATAAATTCTGCTGTTACTGCGTCAAGAAACTGAACTGAATGGAGGGTTTGGGGAATGTTACAGGAAAATATTTGTGTGTTGTTAAAACCTGTATCTTTAACATCAGGTTTTGTTGCAGCAATCTATTTCATTTTAATTTAACTATATAAAAATAATTTGATAAATAGTCGTCTGTATTTTTCAGCCTCTGCTTTGAGACGAATAATAATAACTGTGCAGCCTACAGGTAATTAATGAAATTGGTTAAATTGAAAATAATCTATTCATTGGGTAGATAATTGATCACTGTCCCTTTATTAATTGATTAATGAGAATTTGTGTGAATTTGATAGAGTGTGTGTGTGTGAGTGTGTGTGTGTGTGTGTGTGTGTGTGTGTGTGTGTGTGTGTGTGTGTGTGTGTGTGTGTACACTCACTGTTTACGGCGTGTCTGTAGCGCTGCTGGCCGCTGAGGAGGCTCTGTCCATTGATCAGCAGTATTGAATCCAGGGCTGGAGCTGAGCTTCGGCTCCCGGACACACGGCGGCGGATTTACGCGGATTCTGTCTGCGCCGAATCTGGACTCGGGGTCGGAGTCGCACCGGAGATCCACAAAGACGGGAGGAGGCAAAGTTAGAGTTGGTGGTGCCGGTGAGTGTCTGTGGGGACGATTGCGCGTAAAGCTGCGGAGAGGATGTGCCGAGATGCTCGGAGACTGGACGGAGGATGCGCGCGTCTGAGGGGAAGTGGTGGCACAGAGGAAGAGAGAGAAAGGGAGAGAAAGAGAGGGGGAGAGACTCTGACAACAGCAGCAGTTTATCCTGGAGTCCTCTGACGCACCGGAGCGCACAAGTCAAACTTGATAATTTAACTCAATCTGGACTTTCTCTCTCTCGTCTTCTCTTCACGCATCCGTCCGCCGCTCGCTGCTCTGAAGTCCTCGCTCCTCTGAACTCATCGCCGAGAGAGAGAGAAGGCGCAAAAGTAACGCGACGCAGCCGAAAGAGAAGCGACCAAAAAACAAACACAGACCTCAAGACACCGGCGTCCGAGTCACAGTACCAGCGGGACGTGATCGGTGCAGAGGAGCAGCTTCTAATCACCAGTGTGAGTGTGTCACTTTCAATCTCTGCTGTGCCAACGGGCGCACTGACTGATAGAGGGAGGAGAGAAGGGAGGAGAGACAAAGAGAGAGAGGGAGGGAGGGAGGAGAAGAAGGATAGGGGGCGTCAGTAAACTCATCTGAAAGCGTTTGGTGGGACGGATCTCACTTATAGGACAAATAGAATGATATTAAAGTGTCCAAGAAAACTTGATTTCTAATTTCTACACCCAAATTAACCATTTTACGCACGAAACGTGGATCACTTCGTTGCTGCGGATGCTTAGAAGCGACGCTGTTCCCCCTGCAGCACAGACAGCTGCGTGATAAAAGTCTGAATGATCTCTCAGGGAATCTTCTCCTCGTCTTCAGGAGACTTTGACATAGAAGAGTTTCTCTTCTGTTAATAGATAATTCCACAAGTTATCGCCGCGCTATCAGCGCTGCAGCTTCCCTCTAATCCTCAGACATGTCAGAGCCATCCCACAGATAATACGCACAAGTTGAAGTCCATGCGCTCATGCATGTTAATAAGTAGCCTAATAATAAGTCTCTGTGTGTTCCTCTCCCGAGATGCCCCGCGTCGACTCAGCCGCGCAGTTGTGGGATCCCAGTTAATAATAAACCTGCCTTGATAGACAGATGTCACCATGTGGTGGCTGTGGGATAAGGAAGCCACCGAGGCTCAAACGCAGAAAGAGTTTTCTGGACGCGCGTGAACATGTTGTATTGAAAATGTCCCTCTCCAAAAAGTCAAGTGCGAGAATCTGTTTATTTTTCCCTCTTCGTTTTCTTACTTTCTGGTGTTTTTATTTAAAGTGTGAGGTTTTTATAGATCAGGTGTTATAGGTTTAGTTGTCGTTTTAAAAGTGGTGGTTTCTGCTTGTTCTTAACATTTAAAATGGAGCCCAGACAAAACTAGAAATAGTTAGAATGAACCTTGTAATTGCTCTGAATTACAGAGGCTGGGATTCACACTGATGCAGCTGTGGCAGGAGTCTGAGTTCATCCACGTTTTAACAAGAGCATGCGCATCCCAGCGGAATTGAGCAACACGAATCGAAGCCACAGGTTTGCAACATGTGCGACACTGTCGTTGTGCGTAAAATGCGTCCAAGTGTGCGTCTGTTTTCACGGAGCCTTGTGCTCATACGAGAGGAACCGGATGGATTACTGCTCGCTCCCGTGGCCTCTGGATGAGGCGCCACCGTGCCACGGCTCCATCCATGGCTGCCTCGCCGGTTTTGCGCGTAAAAGCTTTCCAGGGAAAAAGGATCGAGGCTGCGGCACAGGCCTGGTGTTAGTACTTTCTGGGAGTTTGGTCTTTTTTGACCTGTTGCAGGTAGATTTTTTTAAAATCATCTGTTAAAATTAAATTCAAAGATTAATTAACCTTCACCGAGATTTTAATGTTCAGCTGAAGCAGGAACAGAAACGTGTTTGGAGCTTTATCTTTGGAGAGAGACGCGTTATTCTCCGCTTCATCACTGACTCTGAAATTAAACTTCACTGTGGAACAAACACATATTTGACTCACCTTCGCCGGAGTCTGGTCTCTGACACCTGAAGCTCCAGTGAGAGTCAGTTTGCTCCTCGCTCCTCACGCGTCAGTATCACCAGACATAATAAAGATGGTGATGCTGATGAAGAGGAGGCTGTTGTGGTGTCTTCTTCAGGTCGTGATGAGTGTGTGAGGGAGTTAAACAGACGCTGAATGTGTTAGAACAGACTCGCTCAAATCCATGTAAAGATTTTATTTCTCTTCACTCAGCCTCAAAGTGTTTAAGCTCCAAACTTTCTTTAAATTCATTTCCTCCATTTTAAACAATTATCTGTAAATTAACTGGACTCTTGCGGACTTGATAAACGTCTCCTGGTGGATTCCCATAAATATTTCGTTTTGTAGTCAAGTTGCCATGTCCTTTAAATTTGTGAAGATGAGAGGAGTATCATGCGTGTGCTTAAATGTTAATGTATTTCTGCTAAATCCATGTGTAGTCAAGGAAAGGTTATTTTGGATTTAATATTTAATGGCTTTGGTTGTAATGGCGGAAAAGAGTCCTGGCTGCAGATCTGCAGGTTTGCGCACAATCCAACAAATAAAATATCAAAAATATAAATAAATACAAATAAATTCCCCTTCGTGTTTAGATATTTTAAATATTTCTCTCACATCTGGAGAAAAATAAATAAACTCCAGCCTCGTTTAGTGGAGTTAAAGTCGTATTTATTTGTGAGGTAGTGTTGCGTTTATCCAGAGAAACGTCTTTTTACGCATCGTGCGCACTGTGCCGAGTCCTGCTGGAGTCATGCGGACTGCAGCGGGCGTCGTGAATTATTGAAGCCTGACAGGGAAGCGTTTGCCTGCGGATCCTCTCCGCTGCATCACTCACAAACAGCTCGCTCCCTCCGTCTATTTTCCATTTCTTGGGGAACTGGGAATCTTGGAACGAGACCAAACATGCGTAAACGTCTCCGAGACGCACAGAAGAGGATGAAATATTGATCCCTGAAATAACCCCGATGGAAAACCAATTCAGAGGATGGTCCCCTCAAAGCGTGTGTAAAACATGATGGTGTGTGTGTTTGTGTGTGTGTGTGTGTGTGTGTGTGTGTGTGTGTGTGTGTGTTCCTGATCACCTCCTCTGAGCACCACCTACCTTCCACCCCCACCTTCCCCCCCAAAAAAGAAGGGAAAGAAAAACGTGCTTTTATTTATCTCACATCCAGGGAGCAGAGTCATTTATAGAGAGTGATGTTGTGATTTTAAACAGAACAGACCTCCGGCACAAAACTCATTTCATATTCAACAAGTCAGCACAATCACACGCGTCTGGCCTGGATCAGCACAAAATACAGGAAACACTAATAAATAACAAGAGTTGGTTTGTTTCGAACACGAAGTGAAAGAGAACCGAACTAAACGCGTTCACGTTTTAATAAAAACAAAAAGTTCAATTCACATAACTCAGATTCTCAGGATAGAACAAAATCATGTTGGTGTGTGTGTGTGTGTGTGTGTGTGTGTGTGTGTGTGTGTGTGTGTGTGTGTGTGTGCAAACAGCGCGGCTGTGTGGTGAACACACAGAAAACCAATGACGAGGCCAAGAAACAAACTCTTTTCATTAAACACGTAGAGTTTCATTAATAAACTCACTGGATTAGTTTTAGTTTTATTTGACACAGAGTTCAGTCGCTTCAGTTTTTATGTTGGAAAAATACAAAGACAGAAACAGATGCAGCTCACATGAAGAAAAACACTATTTTGTGATATTGTCACGTGGAATATGTTGGTGCAGGTTTTTTTTTTAAGGTGAATTATGAATGTTTTAATATTAATTATCTTTTCTATGATTTTATAAAACACGATGCAAAGAAGAGAGAGAGACACATTTGAATTGAGTCTTTCTCAGCTCGTCTCTGCTGGTTTCACCTTCCTCTCACACAGAAAACATCATTTATTCATGTGGACGAGTTTCCTGCTGCTTGTTTGTGAACTGGAAATAACCTGAAAAGCCAAAATGTAACGTGAAGTGAGTTGAGACCAAAACACTCGAATTAGAGAGAAATCACAAAAACCTGGAAACTCTTA